TCAACGCGTTTTCACATATATAAGTTGCAACCAAGCAAACTCAAAGGCAACACAATAACATACAGAATCCAGACTCTCTGTGTTTTCCATCTTTAAGATGCTTTTTATTACTCTATTTCTTTAACTTCTGTTTTTCATTTTCATTTCAGGGTTTCTCTGTGTACTTTTGACTGACATGGAATTCACTTTGTACACCAGGCTGGCCTTGAAATCACAGATATCTGCTTGCCTCTGCCGCCCTAGGCAAATTTTACTGGGTAAAACAACACAGCTGACTAGGAAGCTAGGAAACAAGGAGGGCCCTAAGAGAGACACACATGGTCCCCTGAGAAGGGAAAGGGACAAGACATCCATAGCAAATTGGAACCATGTGGGGAGGGATGATGGATCCAGGAGAATGAGAAGGGGAGAAGAGCAGGTATGAGGAGGACACGAGGGAGCAGGAAGGTTGAGTTGGGGGAAGAATAGAGGAGAACAAGATAAGAGATACCAGGATAGAGGGAGACACTATTGGTTTAAAGAGAAATCAGGCACTAAGGAAATGTCTAGAGATCTACAAGGATGACACCAGCTAACAATCCAAGCAACCAAGAAGAGGCTACATTAAATGTCCTCCCCTGATAATGAGATTGATGACTGACTTATATCCCACCCGAGAGCCATCATCCAGCAGCTGATGGAAGTAGAAGCAGACACCCACAGCTAAACACTGAACTGAACTGGAATCCAATTGTAGACAAGAAGAGATGACCAAAGGGGTCAAGAACAGGCTGATTAAATTCAAAGAAAATGCTGACCTGAAAAAGGGGGAGTTCTTGGTCCCCAGACGGATAGCTTGGAAACCTGCATGGGATTGATCAAGGCCCCATGAATGTGGGTGTTAGTGAGGAGGCCTCAGAAATCTATGTGGCCTCTTGTAGTAGATCAGTACTTATCCATTGCACAGGAATGGACTTTGGGAGCCCATATCACAGAGAGGGATATCCCCGAGACTAGATACAAAGGGGCGG